TTAGGGAGTTAATATTCTATTAGAGGCTCATTTGGGTGATTTCCATCAAGAATGCGTTTATAACATCTAGCCTGCTTGAAGAGCAAGCAGTTGCCAGCAATTGTCCTTCAACTTTTTGTGCGTTACATACTCGTAGCTAGATTTTCTCAATTTAATTTTAATTCAAATTAATTCCATTTAAATGCATATGTTACCATGCAGCAGTGTGCTCCTTTGCTTAGATGCGAGGGCTTCTGGTACAACTTAATTAGAGTTTTATTTTCGCCATATCATTATAGTTTTCGAAAGATTAATGTATCGGCCATTTTAAATTTATCATTTATTATCTTCCTCCTCGGCTTCTGCGCTCACCATCGAACGACAAGCAGGTCTCAGAGCAAACTACTTGCCTTGATGAATCGATCGATTGATGGATGGTGTTAGCCGGCTAGCTAGTCAGTCAGCCAGCTCGCCCAATGTGGGCGCGCACTTGTCTAGGCCTCATGATTAGCTCAAGTGGATTTCTGACATCTTTCTTCACTGTACACAAATTTCAGTTCGTAATTAATGATTTATTTCACTTCTCGTAGTATCTTAATTTCAGATCAATTATCGATATTCGTGCCTCAGTGCCTGTCACTATAAGTATGTACTTATGTATGTATGTAATTGTGGAAGTCGCGCTCGTCATGAAGTAAATGCTGTAATGACATTATGTAAAAAATATGATGGGGAAACATATCTTGAAAAAAAGAATTGTTTAGCTTTTAACTTTTTAATACATTTTATAGTTCGCTCCCCACTCGGCAAGGGAGAGGGGTTCCTGGAATGCTTTCAGATCCGAGACCGCTAACGTACTTGTGACGTTTTACAGTGAGATAGTTTGGTATATATTTGTATCTGGATTTTCTTCTTCTTCTTCGCTTCTCTGACTAACCGTCAACAGAAAGCAAAGCCTTTTTGCCAATTACACATTGATTATTTTTGATATCTTTGATTTGCTTTTTGGTGTAAAGCTTTATTTTAACAATATTGAGCGTAAGCTTATGTTGTACAGTATTTTAGTTGTTAATTCATTTGAATTTTAAAAATATTATTAATAAATAGATTTATCAAACTGTACATTTATTCCTCTGTTCAAAGTTGCATTCAAATAATACGAGTGTATTTCCCGCATTTTTTGTTTTTAAGATTTACTTACTTATAAGTAGATATATAGAAAAGTTGTGGAACATACTTATACAATTGATCCATTGGTTAAGAAACGTACGTATAAGCCTACAAGTATTATACAATCGAGCAATGGCCTCTCTGTCTGCCAGATGCCAGCCAATAGACAAGCAATAATCTAAGATTCTGAGTAATAAGCCATAAAACTCATCATCACACCCAAAAACGTACGCCAGCCTGGTAAGATATTCAATTAAAGTTTTATTTGAGGTGCTTCATTTGGCCAAACAAGAGCGTTTTTAATTAATTCCATCAGACCGAAACCCAAATACGGACTACAATCGTGACGCGCTCTTGCAGAAAATCTTGCTGCACCGACCGGGCTGAACCTCCTTGTGGAGGTGGGGAAGAAAAAGTACTGGTACTGATACTGGTACTGGCACTCGCGCTGCCGCCGATATTGGTGTTGATGGCGATGTCGATGTCGATGGCTGTTGGTGTCCGGAGGGCGGTCGGGTAGGCGAGCGGTGGAGCAGTTGGCTGGTTGACTAGCCGGATAGGCATTATTCGTTGGCAGCTGATCAAAAACTATTTCGAGGCGCTGACTAAATTTATGAAAACGAGCATCATACAAACATGTTTACACAAGTGAACACGTCGGGCTACATGCGAAAATACATACTGCATGGTTGCAATGGATGCGGAACATCAGTACGGGGGCACGGTCAGCACTTGTGCCACCTCGTCTCGATGAGCACCGATGCGGAGACCGGGATGTCCATCGTTAGCTCCAGAATCGCCGTGCTCATCATGATCATCATCATGCAATAAGATAGAGTTGGCTAGCACGGCCGAAAATATCGAAGAACGAGTCGTATATGTAGTAAATGGCTAGAGAGACATAACATTGGCTGAGAATGATTTTAAACAAATTATCGCTGACCCATTCCTGGAAAACCTTCCACAATATTAATTCGAGTTTGTGACATAAACGTGAGCGCATTCAGTGCATGGATTACAAATGGACCGCAATAACGCAGACAATGCGAATTCAATTTGTTAGCGCCTGCCAACCGCGATCGCGAGTACGCGGATCCATGTGACTGTCCGTGTAAGGCATGGGCATGGGGAGTCGTGAAGCGGGCGCAGCTGCGGATGAGGAAGGTGTTGCAGAAGCAATGCTCAATTGCTGGCATCTGTTGGTCAGCGTTAACATGTTTTCCTTTTTGTTAATACCACGTGATTAATGACTTATTATGATGTCAGATTATTGAGATCGTTTCCAAAGTGGATAACTAGTAGACAAACCTGCAAAAATTGACGAGCAAACAAACATTAGTTGAATGAACGCTTGAAAAGGCCATGCCAGTTCTTACTCACCTCTGAAAGGTGTCTGCGCTATATTTGGGGTGCATTAGATAGTAGTAACCTGACGAACCTAACCTGTTAAAACAAACAACATTTTTAAACAGATTTATTCAGTTATAATGAAAGCTCAAACTTACCATATCCATATCCATATCCATATGTGCGCTCCAATAGCAATTGCTGATCAATAATTCCATCTGGAGACAGTCGTTCAAATCGGAGTTACAAAAAGAGATGAATTGAAACACAAATACACAGATATTCTAAATTTTTAGATACTGATTTTATTATAAATATTACAAATAAAAACAAAATCTCATTTGTAATTTCAATTATGTTTATGCTTTCTCGACTGCTTCCTTAATTCTCGCTCTCTCTTTTATACTAAAATGTAGGTATTATTTACAACAAATTAATAAGCAAATCAAATCATTTCGCAGGGAAATGAGGGAGTGCATGCATTTGAATGCCTGCTTCTCAATGGGATATCCTCGCATCTAATTCTCTAGGCTTAGGTGTGTATAGATTTGCGTCATGTTCACGATGCTATCGACGCACTCGAATTGAAGTGTGCGCGATTTTCTAGATATTCGATTTTGTATTTCAATTTTAAACGCTTAGTTTCTTACAGAATGAGGCCGAAAGTTACGTATCTGGATTGAATTCATTTAAATTTTGATCTCCGCTTTCTATCAATTGTTTCAACACTCGATAGTCAGCGAGTTGACGCATTTTTAGCATTCTCTGTTTCTTTACTCTTGCAATCACAATTTGTCTCTGTCGAGCTTACGTATTTTTTGTTGTTTGTTGCTTTAGTTTTTGTTTTTGTTTTCATCCTCCAATCATATCCAATCGTGCTGCTCTCGCAAATATACACTATATGTATGTAGTATGTTTACGTATGTGTGTGTGCTCGGATTTAAGGGGCAGCGCGATTACAACGAATAGATCCCTACCATTCCATAAGGATATGGATATGGATGTATGCGTCATAGAATGCGCCTTAATTATATCTACATATTAACATAGTACGATGATTTTAATTTCCTTTAAAACTTTGGTATATGGATTTCTACATATCATTTCATTCATTTCATTCATGAGTATTAATGTGAGTGTACGAAGAAGGTATAACTTGATTTCAGCTGCAAGTTATGTATTGAGGGTGGCGCCACTTTTGCGATACCAAACAGCGTCCGAAGACAGTCCGACATCAGTTCGTTTGGGTGTAGAGGCATAGAAATATAGTATTTGCTCTATTTCGCTACTTTACATACATAGATTAATTTGCTCGCATTGTTTTTAGTTAAAACAGCTTTCGTTTAACAATATAAAACTATTTGTGTAGTTTGCCAAATAATTTTAGTCAGTATACATTTTTTCCTTTACGACAAAGTTCAAGTTTTGAAACTTCGTGTTTGTTCAACTTAATGGTTTCGAGCGGCTTGACATCTAAACATTGCACAAGAACATAAATTTACGAATAGAAATTAGAGGTCGTTTGAATACATTTTCCAATGTTGTACAGGAATCAAAATATAGAAACACGTTACTTTGAACTCATATGAAAGGGTGTTGGGTTTTGGAGAATGAAATAGCGACTGGTGGGTGAGGGGCGGAGGGAGGGGGAGGGGGGAGGAAGAGAGAGAGAGAGAGATATATATAGATACAGTTGATGTTCTCCAGCATCATTGGAAAAGATATTCAAGCTTCGGCTCACCGAAACGATTATTACAAGTATATTTATCTTTGCTTACATTTCTCTTAGAACTCAATAAATGTTTTTATTTCTTTACTTACAATGCTTGTTATTGTTTTATTTATTGTATAAGTAATACATTATTACTTGAAGCAACGTCCTCCACTTCTCCTTTCCTTCTTTCTTTCTTTCTTTTGGTATTTGTTTGTCTAATTTTGACATTTACTTAATTTAAATAGTACATCATACAAATATATTTCGGTTTGCTGTCTGTGTCTTTCAAATGACTTTAAAACATTATTTCATCATATACATACATATATCTTATTTGTTGTATTTATGTATGTATTTATATTTTTCCCATTTCCTTGCTTTTTACATCCAAACACAAGACATGCAGCTTACCATTTGGTGTCTATGCATGGATTAGCTATCCTTCGATTTCACAATGTTGGTTTATATTCAATTTCGAGCTAGGACTGCTACAAACGTTAAATTAGGTTTATGCTTTATATTCGTTTTCATAGGTATGTATATATTAACGAGCATGTAAATTAGTAATACATTAAATTATGCTTTACACCTATGACGCCGCATAGAGCTAACATTCTATTTGATGTAGTAGGTTAACATTTAGCTCCAGACATACTATACATATACATATAGACGTACATATTTGTATACATATATTTAATTGTTCTGCCTTCAGCTACCCTTTAGTATATATTCGAATTATGAGTTACACATTATTAAATATAACTTATTTAAATCTGAGGTCACATGAGTTGGTTTTGTTGAGTTTTACGCTTTATTCTTTATTTTTAATATTTTAACTTATTACGCTCGTTTTCCATTTGCATTTTTGTAAAAATTAAATAATAGGTTGAAATAATAACAATTTACTAAGTGTAGTTTTTTGCATAGTTTGTATAGGTTGTATACTTCGGAGCTTCAGCTCCACCGTAATGTGGTATTTAGTTGAAATTAATTTCAATTCTGCCGCTTGCTAATTGTTTTCAAATAGTATAATTGTATGCCGTGTAGTTTTTGACTTTCGCGCGTTCCCGGCGCCTTACTGCGGACTGTTGGGTGGCGTGATCTCGTCGCCCTCGCCTCCCGATCCCGGCTCGCCCTTCGTCTTGTTCTCCTTCTTCCACTTCATGCGGCGGTTCTGGAACCAGATTTTGATCTGGCGCTCCGTGAGGCACAGGGCGTGCGCAATCTCGATGCGTCGCCGGCGCGTCAAGTAGCGGTTAAAATGGAACTCCTTCTCCAGCTCCAGCGTTTGGTAGCGTGTATAGGTCTGGCGTCCTCGTTTGCGCTCTGTTGGTTGCAAGCAGAGGAGAAGATTTTCTAATTAAAATCAAATCATGGACAACGCCCAAGCGTACAAAATACTACTGCAACAACAATGGCAATGACAACAGAAACAAAAACAACAATAACATAAGATACAAAATATTACAACACCAACGAAACTACAAAGCCGACAACAATACTTATAATATAGGGGTCCGAGCCGGTACAAAATGCGGTTATCATGGCGACTGGCATTGTCTCAACCAGCTCGGTCCCAATCCAACCTCATCACAGTGGCTGGGCAACTGGAACTGCAACTGCAGCTCTGTCTGGAGGTCGAGTCGAAGCCAAGAAACAGAGAGGGACGCCGCATGAGCAAAGCGCATGCTGCGCCGCTCATGTTGAAGTCGCTGATTAAAAGACGACCTTACCGAATTCGGAAATTTGTACTTGTCAAGATCTCAACATGCTCTCGACCTTAGACGGTCAAGGAACAGTGTGAGCGGTTGGATTAAAGCTGGGCTTTTCATGGGCATGAAAGGTAACTAATTATGTACAACAGACCCGACTTGGGACGCGGGGTTCGTATATTTTGAAAGACTGGATGAATCCAGTACTACATAGCTCATCACACTTGTCGCGCTTTGTAGGCATTAACCCGGCCCCACGTCTCCCCTCCAAAATGATAACTGTAAAATAATTCAGTATAATTACTGGCTAAAATGAGTTCAGCAAGCTCTAATGACACTCACGATAATTACAATTTTGGTAATGACAGCAGAAAAAACAAACAGCCAAACATAAAAATGTCGGAAAATATGTCAAATATAATTCGCTGTAATATTATTGTCAATGGCATTAGCTGGCATTCTCTTTCTTCCTTCCTCCACCTCTCTCCCTCTTTCCCTCATTCCCTCATTCCCTCATCCCCTCCTTCCCCCATCCAGCACACACCACACACCATACGTGTACACCATATAGAGCCCTTCAATTGAAAATGCCTCTAGAGCAGAAATGTCACATGATACTGGGTCCCACTCGAAACAATAGCCTAGTCGGTGGCTACTGTTTGACGCAGCCTTGAACAACCCTGGACTGAAGCATACGTCTAAAAATGGCCACGTCGGCGCTGTGGTTGCCACGGCCACGCTATACGGCAATCAGCTAAAAACTAGACTCCGGGAAGCCTGAGGCTTTATAAATAGCGCTCGCGAGCAATAATGCGGCGAGGGAGGAGCGGATGCGTAACCTAACTATTTTTTAATAACATCTTCAACATTTGTCTTGCTCAACTCACTCAAGCGGCCGGCCATCTCAATCGACCAGTTTTTTCTGCTTCGCTCGGGGTCATTACATCATAAGCTTTTTTTACTTTATGACGGCGGCGGCGGCAACGGAGGCGATGGCGGAGGCGGCCATTAATGTGCGCGAATCCGAATCGTAAAGAGCCAGTAGAGGCAGAAGAAGGGCCGAGGCGGGGGGAAGCGCGGCGCAGAGCGGTCCGCACTTGGCCTCTTCAGCGGTGGCCGACGCATTTACCTTCTTTTAAATGACACGACTGATGCCATGTCTATAACCCAAGGCGGTCGCATTTAATCATCATCAGTTAGACGAGTCGCCGCAGCAAAAACTTGAGAGATTTGTGGCAAAAAGCGCAAGTTTTTCTCGGTATGTGTTCCCGGCTTTTTTTCAGCCTAATGGAACAACTGCCACTCGAGGGGCTATGGCTGAAGAATGGAGAAAGAGGGGCATTGGAATTAACTACGCTGAGCATGTGGCATAGAAGTGGGGTGACTTTCACCAAATCATGCATCAGATTCAAAGCCGCGGTTGCCTATAAGTGTATCGAGAACTGTATTTGAATCCCACCAATCTGACAGTTATAAGCATTTAGTTGAACTCCCAATTCGTAATGAATGAATGACGAAACATCCAAAACATTTTCATAAGTAATGCGCTTTCCGTGTCATCTCTGATATATTTTCAATTTAATTCAGTTACAATAAACCATTATAAATTAATAAGATTTTGGTTGGTCCATATTTGACCCCCGGGTGGACTATACCAGATGGTTTCTCTTCTAAAATACTACGGCATGGACCGAATAGTTGTCAGGGGCGAATTAGCCATCGAACTTTGCTCATTGATCAGGTGATTCATTTCCACATTCATTCACATGAACAGCGATGAATTGGGAGTATTCGACTCGTTGATGCGTAGTAGCGATGTAAATAGAAAAATACTTATGTATGCATTGTTGAAAATGGTGAAAGGAATTTGAGTGATTACCCAAGTTCCTCTCCAGCTCAAGATCTATGTGTACACCGTGTAAGTCGGTGGTAGATCTTCGCACTACTCTATACTTCTGTATGCGAACGCACATAGCCAATTATTGTGATTATTTTTATTTGATAGAAACACCTTCATGCCGCTCCATTCGATGGCCATGAGAGTGGGTTAGATGGCGAAGGGGAGGTCTACGGTGGTCGGGAAGCACCTTTCGGTGGCCAAAATTGGTTTTTAATGATGGCTCGGCACATTTTATGCGGCCATCACTGAGAAGTGGCAGTTGTTAGTTCCATTTTCGTGCTTCTTTGACTTTTGATAAGTTGGACTGATCGTGGCGCCCACTTTGTCGGACCAGTAGTGAACAAGGCCCAGTACTCGCTCACTCACACGAACCATTTTGCGCTCAAAAATTATTATAAACGCATTAAGGGTGCTTTAAAGCAGCGCTTTGCATTGGATATTGGTGGAGTAGCCTGACGAGCTGAGCGTTCGGCATCGAGAACAGCAGCAACAGAAATACTCGAACAATAAAGGTGAAATAATTAATATCGCTAGAGCCAAAGGCGGCGCAGGGGAGACGACTGTGGTGCAGCTCTCATTGCCCCCAGCCCCTTCAGAAGCCCCCAACAGCAACAAGAGAAACATAGCATAGTACTACAAACCCAACGCTGGACGTTGGACTTCAAATGCGGCTTGCTCCGACGCTGACCCTGGTGAGCTTTGCGGTGGCCAACAGTCGGAGTGGCTCGTTGGGTTGGCTGACTGACTGGCTGCCTGGCTGGCATTAATGCGTTTTGATATGAAAGCGTATTGTAATTAAATTGCGATTAGGCCACCATTTCAACCATTTTACTCAAATTACTCTTCTTGCCCCATAATGGATTTTATTTCATTTTTCCACTTGCATGTGTGTGTGCTTAGAGGTGTGTTTAGCTACCAGTGGTCGCGAGTACGAGTGCGAGTTGCCGTCCGGCGTTTAAGGGAAATCATTAAAATAATTGCCCCAACATTTTATGAAATTCGTTGATGCAGGAAAATAATTATTATTATGTAAGAGCAAAACCAATTTGGAGCGAAGTTTGTGTTTTTTAGCATTAATGGGAATACTGCACATAATACAGCACTGCGATCTTCAAAACCCTCAGCCTAACTCACTTTCTATGCCTCCACTACTTATTTTAATAGTCTGATGAAAGCAAAACATGCTATTGCATGTTCTCCAAAAATAGTGAAATTTTACTTCCAAGCCCATGGTCTGAAGTGAACTATCACAATGTTTCCTACCAACACGCATTTAGAAACTATATAGGCAGTATAATCCAAAGAAATCAGGACCAGACCTTTCGAAGCATTTAATATTCGATGGATACAACTTAGGATACTTGTAGAAGATGCCAGTGTCCCCAATTCCACCACAGGCCGCAGCTTCGCCAATTCGCGTTTGGGATTCTCCAATGCTTACCATATTATAAAGACGCTCTAGACCTGATCAGTATAGAAGGATTATTTATATTCAGCAGCCATAGCTGCTATCGAGGACCCGACGGCTGAACAGACAGGCGAATAAACTTTGTGGGTTGGCTTCGGCGTGCTAACATTTATTCGTAAGTATAGTTCATCTGCGATCTTTTGTCTGACTTAAACTTTCATTCCAAATACAATATGCCTTTCAGTCTTCAGTTACGACTGTTAAAACTGCATTTTAGAGACTAAAGCCAACAACAAGTGAGGTGCAAAAGGGAAACCCAAACCTTACCCCAGATTCTAGGTTAGGGCGTCGGTTTTTTAGAGTTGCATGTCATGTGCCGTTATGGCGCAGAATAGAGGAAAATACATTTGGCAAACAGTAAATATGAGTAAATGATTTTTAATTGCGGAAATTACTGAAATCCGTGCGCCAGCGCAATAAATGCAAAAGTAAGTTAATCAATTTTGCAGAATGTTCGTGTGTGGCATTTGCGACTGAGCTTCTGCCTCGCAGTTGCCGGTGTTGCTTCTGTCATTGTTGTGATGGCAGTCGGTGCGAAAGTGTCAAGTCAGCACACGATGATGTGCTATATAAATAGCATTGGAGCTGATGGGGGCCGCGAACCTTGGGCTCAGTGCTCACGCCCAGCGAAGGGGCTTTGGGTGAGGGGGAGTAAGTGCAAATGAAATCGAGGGGATTTACTCAGTGCTCTGCAATTCTATCTCAGTTGTTGGGGCATGCTTGCATAATTCGTTATCGTGTGTGTGTTGTTTAACGTGGCTTTGCCGTTTGGGCTTAGACCTTAATGCTTAACCTGCATTGGTGGCTTGAAGAGAAGGGGGCCGTGAATATCTTCTACCATCTCATCCTTTTAGCAAAGCTGAACCACTTACTTTTGACGCTCCATTGTCGACCGCAATCGCAAAAACGAGTTATAGTTCAGATTTTAATTAAACGGAATGGACCCGCTGTAGAAGAAACAACAGCGATAGCAGCAATTAAAAATTACAACTGACCACCGGTTCATTTATAAACATTTTTAATTCCATTTGTTGCTCTTGGTGGTGCTGTTGTTGTCCCTGGCTGGGTATAATCTCAGGAGACGCTGCTTGGATTTTTAATTTGGGAATTGTTAAGCACTTAAGAGGGTTAAGAACCCACAAAAACTGGCAGCGTGGAATGAAGAAAGTAGAAGAAGATAGAGCGGCGGACAAGGGGACAGTCTATCTTATGGATGCATTGACATTCCCAATACTTGCACATGTGC